ATTATTATTATTATTATTATTATTATTATTATTATTATTATTATTATTATTATTATCATTATTATTATTATGGTTATTGTTATTGTTATTGTTATTGTTATTGTTATTATTATTATTACTATTACTATTACTAGTAGTAATACTAGTACTAGTACTCTAAAATTTATAAAAGCAGAAATTTATCTAGTTTTACTTGAATAAGAAAACCCAAATTTATTTGCCTTTTACTCTTTTGTTTGTCTTCGTTCATAATTGTAACTGAATAAATTGAAATACACTGATTTCATTCACAATCTGAAATTGTAAATCAATACTGAAATAAAAATTAGAATTTAAGGAAAGGGAAAGAAAGAAAAAATGGACAAATTTAAATTGAATTAAATAAAAAAGGAAAAGGATAAAATATTTGTTTAATGAATTTGGCTGTAAATGATACATTAGCATTCACGAATTCAATCGTTTTTTTTTCCTTCATTTGAATTAACTTTTTTTTTATTTCAAGGGGAAAAAAGAGGGAGGAGAAAGAAAAAGAGAAAGAAGGATCTTTGATGGAATGAATTTCTCCCAATTTCATTACCAAAAGTGAAAATTGCAAAACTTTGAACTCTCTTTAATTATTATCACAATCTTTCTTCTTCATCTTACATCTCTCTTCATCGATTTTATCCTTATTACATGAATAATATACATGTGTTTGTGACATACACCTATCTATATATTTGTGTCGGTTATGTATGTGGGTATGTGTATGTACAAGTATGTCGTGTATGTGAGCTTTTTCAATGTTTTATCGTATGTGGTGGACTGACTACTACTAAACTTATACTACTACTACCATTACTGCTGCTATTACTACTGCTTACTACTACTACTACTACTACTTATCCACAATTCACTCTCATTATTCCATTCATTCGTCATCATTCATCACACTTTTCAGCCTAGTTCAATCCCTCTAGAGTTGTCTGTTTGTCTCTTACCATCCTTGCCACCCGTTTGATGACAATATCACCTCATCATGTTCCATGAGCTACTGAAGGATGGAAGGAGGAGACGGATAAAGTAAGGAATGGGAGTGAGGGGAGGGAAAAAGTGGGGAGGGGGGACATATTGTTGACAGCTTTGTTGTCACACCTACTCTCATCTTACCTCTATAGATAGATGGCTATTGCTCTTCGCTGTTTTATCCTGGAGATTTAACAGTTTGCATTTGTCCATTTTCTAATTGCTTATTTACCTCTTAATTAAAATTTTGAAACTGGTTCCATTACTCCCTCCTACTCTCTCTCTCTTTCTCTCTCTCTCTTCATTCCCTTTCTCCCTCCTATCTTTTACTCTTTCTTTTAATCCTTCTCTCTGTACTTCCAATATTTCAATTCTGAACAGCTCGATATACACGGTCAGAAAGCCTCATTTGACGTAAACATTTTTGGTGCTAATTTGTTTATTTAATATCACTTAACCGGTTTACTTCTAGATGGTTCTCCCTTTATTGTTTTATTTTTCACACTATTAGTGTCCTATCAGTCAGACGTACCGGATTACTTTTTCCTGAAATATATCATTCAGAGCATTTATACAAATTAAAGTTTTTTTTCTAAAAATAAAACTGATTATAGCATTTATGATTAATCGGATTAAATATCCTGAATATTTCATTCAAAGAATTTCTAAAAATCTTTTTTTTCGAAATCAAATTATGGTGTTTACATTCATTTACTTCGATTAGATCGGACATGTATTGATTGATTGATTGACATTGATTTCACTAATTTTTATAAATGGAACTATTAGACTGGAAAGAACGCCAATATTTAATAATTAAATCTGTGAAAGATTTTTCTTTTTTTTGTCTTCTAAGGAATGACAGAAAAAAGTTTAAAAGACTTATGAAACACGACATAATAATAAAATAATATTAAATATTTTGGGAGAACAGTGTAAAATCAAATTTAAATGACAAGTGAAGATTGTAATGAATCAATAAATGTGAATTGCATTTTAATTTTAAAAAGAATAAAAAACCTTTTTTCCTTTTTCGAAACGAATTGAATAAAGAGGTTATCATTTTATTAACAAAATAGATAAATGAGAATAACTGGCGATTAAAATTAAAAATTTTATTATTCTCTTTTAATCATTTCGGAATTTTTCCAAAAAAATTTTAATAATTTTGGCAATTAAAATTCAATAATATGAAGAGATCTTAAAAAGTGTTATTCATCATATTATAAATGATAAGCTTGAAAAAAATTTTTTTTTGAAAAACAAATTTTAATCTAATAATAGTAGAACGATTAATAACAACATCGATGTTTTATTTGCTAAATTTTCTTCTCTCTTCTCTTTTTTTTTCTTTTTTTGTTTGTTTTTGAATTTCAAGTAACAAAGACTTTTCGATAATATTTCAAAGATATAATTTTCATTGCAAAACAAAAAACAAAAGAATGAAAAGAAAAGTTAAAATGTAATAGCAATATGTGTATATCTGCAAATATACTGATAATTGTACAGGAAATTTGTTTTAATTTATTTTTGTGAATGACAAAATTTCTTTACTTTTTGTTTTTTGTACTTTCCCATTGATGATGATGATGATAAGATCAGAGGTGTGGAATGTTACGTCTATTGACATCAATCTCCGCCTCACCTCATCTCCGCCACATTTGCTCCCCCGCTCTTTCGCGTCTACTCTTTCCCGCCTTTCCTCTACCCTGAAAAAAAAAATGTTTCATCGTTAATGATGGAACAACTAACTACAATTGACTAAAAATCCGTCAAAGTAGCCAATATTCCTCTGATTCATCTAAATGGTATTTTATTTTTTTTAATTTCAATAAGAAAAAATCTTTCTCTTTCTTTTCTCTCTCTCTCTCTCTCGTTTCCTCTCTCTTTCGCCATTTGTCTTGTATTGAATGTTTGCCTTTTTTTCTTTTTTCTGTATTGAAAGGGATGAATGCTGAATAGGAAAATCAGATGGTTTCATTTAACAAATTGTTTACCATTAACAGCTCTCTCTCTCTCTCTCTTTTACTCTCTCTCTCCTTCCCTCTCTTCCTGGTAAAATTATATTTAATTTGTTACAGCTCAGCTACCCCATTTCATTTTCTTCCTCCCCATCCGCATTCACCCCGCTACCCCGCCCAAACAGTATTATTTTGTGACAAGTTCAAGTGTTAAGCTAATCTGAAAAGATTAATACTATCGGACAGTGACGATGACAGCGACGATGATAGTGATAATAATGATAACAATGATGATGATGATGATGATGATGGAGAGAACTGATCATAAAAGTGGTTATGCTGTTGGGTTTATTGTGAGTGGAGAAAGGATAGAGAAGCTCACAACATTTAATAAATTTTCAAAACAGGGAGAGAGAGAAGGAGGAGAAGAAGGGGAAAAAAAACTGAAAAAAAAAAAGATAGAAAAAGTGATGGTAAGAGATAGAGGAAGGGTTTCCAATGAGATTTCATATAATTTCCAGGCAGAAATTCTCCCATCATTATCGTTATTGTTGTCATCATAGTTTATCTACAGCCTGCCACCACCTCGTTTCTCCTATATTATCCCCCGCCTTGACCGCTCCCCGCCCCGTGTCCCCTCCATCTCGTTCTTTCTCATCCTGATGGATCCATCCGTCCCTCCTTTGCCCACCCAATTCCATAAAT